CTGTGTCTACTAAACCCTCAATAATTTCTATGCTGTTTATTCATATTCTACCTTTGGTTATTTATAGAAGTTTGCCAAAATATTTGCTTTATGATATCTTGTGAAAATTTTGTTTTATCTTCTAAAGCTGTTCTAGCATCCAGTTCAGTATGTTTTTTTAACAACAGGCCATAAATCATTTAATCATTTTGTGGAAGATTTTCCCAATGCTGTCAGGTACAGATTAAACTACATTTGATATTGGGGCCTTTGAGAGGCCCCAAAGGGCATTTCCCAATGGCAAAGGGTAACCCTGCCTATCCCTTGTTGATCTACATTCATTAGTCCAATGTTGGCCTTAAAGGCCTTATCACCTTTTTACATTCTGCATTAGCATTTTCAAAAGCCAAAGTTTCAATTAATATTTGTCAAGCATCTGGATCAGAATCTTTCTATTTACAGCTGATGTTAATCTGTGTAAAAGATCAGTGAAAGATTCTTTCAGGCCTTGTAAAATTTTAGTAAATGACTCAGCCCTCTTTCCTGATTCAACCCTGTTCCAAGCATTCAAATCTGCTATACAACATAGAATCAGGGTGTTATCATTCAACATACACTGTCTTTGCAAACCAGCATACTGACCCTCACCAATAATTTGGTTTTGGGAAATCTCATGACCTCTAGCCCTACCTCATTCTTCTAGAGCCCTGGTTTCCTCTCTACACCAAGTTCTCTATTGTAATTGAGGACCAGATTATAATATGGCTGTAACTAAGTCCTTCCAGTCTTGTGGAATAATTCTGTTCCAGTTGCCCATGAATTTGACATTTGTTTCACAAAGGGTGAATGCATGCCATATGAAACTACTGCCTCTTAAATCTCTTTAAGTCTAACATATCTACAGAATTCCAATTAGCTTCTGCATAGTCTTGGGGATGCATATCATCTGGTAGTTGTTGTTGAACAGTAACCAGATATATTTAAGTTGGTGTTTTAATAACCTTAGGCTGTTCCTCTCCAGTTTCATAACGCAATGGTATGGTAAGTTCTGCTCTAGATTCCTCTGTCTGTGTCTGAGCATTTTTTTCTTTTTCATTAGTATATCTTATAATATTATTATAGTATATCTTACAATATTATTTAACTCTCTCCTACTTTTCTAAAGGATTTCCCAAATCTCTCCCTAATTCTATTGACTTCTCCAGGCAAGTCATAGTGGACTGCTAGCATAGAGAGGTCCAGACTGCAAATGTAGAAGAACTGGCTGGTGTGACCCCTTCTTCTGTGTGGTTCTACCACCCACTGGGTGCCAATTGTTGTCTTATGTTTGTTTGACTTTTTTGTTATCTACAGTGGCTGTCCTTTAAGCAACTGCTTCAGCTGCAAGGGCTGCAGTCTGAGGGAATTCTGTTCCCTCAGGTCCCAAATCTTTTAAAGCTGCTAAGGGAAACTATGTAAATCTAAAGAACTCAGAATTCAAGGTTTGAGGTGGAATTCTGCTCACTCAGAGAGGCAAGCAGAATAGCAAGCGGCTAACCTTTTGCTGGCATCTTCCAAAAAAATCCACCATCATTCTCTCTGCCCCCACTTAAAAACTCTTGCTACATATGGTTCCTCCTTACCACTGCTTGTCGGCTACTTGGTGACTCATCCTCCTGCTCACAGGTTCATTTTCTTTAATCAAACACATCTTTGAATTGTTAGCAAAAGTAGTGGGAAAAAATGCATCACACTTTAAAATAATATTCTCCAACATTGACATCCAAAGACTAAAATGATTACAATTTCAGATTCTAGGGTAGTGTCACAAAAGCAAGTACCAACACAAGTGCATTCTGGTAGTTTGTATATTTAGACTTCATGGAAACAACAGCCTTGGTGCATTTGTCACTTGATATCAGTTTTGCTTCCTAATAACCAGTTACAGCTAGTCTTGCTGTTTCGATGAGAGTTGTTTGGATAGGTTTTACAACTACTAGGCTATCCACTGGTGTTCAGGTTATGTTTGGGCCACATAATAACTTTTCAGTGAATGACAGACCACATGGAACTGGTTTCTATGATGTCACCCAGTAGCCATTGAAGAAGGACGCTTAAAAGAAATCCCACACTAGCTCAGAATTGAGAATTATAGATGGTTATTTATTTAGGGGTAGACTCACAAATCAATATCCTCTGCTGGAATGGAGAACAGCAACTGAATCCCGCAGCCAGAAAAGAGGCCGGATGCACGCTTTACATAGGCATAAATAGTGTAAGAGGCCACACCCCAGTGAGCAGATAACTTAAGGGCTACTGGCTGTAGGATTTCCTACAGCAAGCCATTTTAGTTTGTGCAATTGCATTGACATTTGCAAAATGAGATTATCAGTGAATGACAGACCACATAGAACTGATTTCTAAGATGTCACCTAGTAGCCATTTTAGTTTGTATGAATGCATTGACATTTGCACAATGGGATCACCTTAGGATGCATTTCTCAGAACATGTACCAGAAGTATCATATTAGTACCTAAAAATGAGTCATCTATTGCAAAATCAGATGTATATGTACAATCCTCACAGTCTGCTTGTATGACCATTGAATTTTATGTATCCATTGTGTCAGCACTAAATTGTGAATGTTCATTATATAAATGAAATACAAAACTGCATGATTGCCCCAGTGCAATAGAAGGTGCTTGCTGGACAAGCTTGGTCACACAGATTCTATCTATCTCCAGAGCCATGCAAAGGTGAAGGAGAGAACTGACTCCACAATGTTGCCTATGATTGCCTGTGTGTGTGCGCGCGCACACACACACACACACACACACACACACTGGTTTTTCTAGATAGGGTTTCTTTGTGTAACAATCCTAGTTGTTCTGGAACATGCTTTATAGACCAGGCTGTCCTCAAACTCAGGACCTTTGAAAGAGCAGGCAATGCTCTTAACTGCTGAACCATCTCTCCATCCCTTTAATGTATTTTTTAAACTACAAGATTGTTTTCTAGAACACATTTTCTGTTGAAGTTGAACCCAAAACTTTATACATGTTAAACACTGAGTCCTGACACTGCAAATTGTCTTTGTTTCAAAATGGAGGTGTGTGTGTGTGTGTGTGTGTGTGTGTGTACGTGTGTGTGTGATACATCATATGCAAACACACACACACACAAAATCTCCAATGTTGAGGGAAAAATGGTTTCACAGCACACATTAGGAATCTTAAAATACTGAACAGTTCATCCTAAAGACAATCTGAAGTACACAAAAGCTGGGCAAGATGGTGTGCACTATTATCTCAGCACTTGGAGGTGACAACAGGAATCCAACCTGGGCTACATGAGATTGTCTCAACCAAAATTTTAAGATGTACAAAAATTTTATATATAAAGATACCCTTAAAATGGGAAAATATCTACTTAAAGTGAAAATGGCAAGTTGCAAAAAGCATTTTTTTTAACTCCTTTACAACAAGGTTCCCTTATGTAGCCCAGCCTGGCTGCTTTGAACTCAGAATCCTGTCTCAATGTCTCAAGTGCTAGAATTGCACAACCATCTCTATACCAGACTATGCTTTTCTGAAGAATGTCACAGGAGGTCTGAGGAGGCCTGAGTCCTTGCTGCCCAAGCATGAAGACCTGAGTTCAGATCCCCAGAACCCATATAAAAAGCCAGACATTACTGTGCATTTCTGCAACCCCAGTGCTGAGGAGAAAGAAAATGACCAGTAGAAGCAAACTGGTGAGAGAAGGTGAGAAGAATTCAGATTCTGCAGAGGGGCCTTAGAACGCACAGAGGATTCCATTTCTGATTACAGGAAATCCAAGTCAAAGTCACTGACATCCTAAAGTGTAGAAAAAACACCCTTGCTATTTGAAGATTAGAAATGAAACAGATAAGAACCATCTAAAGGGGGAAACGAATTTCTCATTATGCTAGGTGGGAAATGGGGAGAACGGACAAGTTAATAAATAAATCAGAGTGACTATCGCACCCATGAGTTTGCTATGACAGCAAAAACACATGAGAACTGCATACACCAAAACATTAGAAGGAGACCAAACGCCAACCCGAGTGACAGATGGACAGGGCTCTTCCAGGAGAGTGCTCTGACCGATCAGAGGAGTCCGATTAGCTGGAGAAGGACGTCCAACTGTGTGGTCTTGTGTCCTTGAAAATTAAGATCGTCCAACTAACTTCTTGTCCCAGAATCCCGGGCAAGCTCTTGAGCACTTTCCCGTTGACCTAAGTAGGGATTCTAGCCCAACTGCCAGCTCTGTTCCTCGGTGTGAAAGAAAGAGTCCTTCGTCAACCCAGATCTGAACTGCGGTGCTAACAGCACAGTTGGTGCTGCTTTCTCCCTCCCTCTGTTGTACTGAGTTAACCTCGCTTCTAAACGGGTGCAGTGGCCAAGGTCCTGAATGAACTGAGAGTTGGTACCCACGGTCTGATTGTCTTGTGCACTCTAGACTTTAGTTTCCCCGTCAGCATAGACAGCGTAGGCTTGCTCATACAGCTGTTTCGGGTTGGAACATTCCAGTACCCAGACAGCGAGCCCCCTTGCCTCACAGAGGGGGACCGACCCTTGAGGTTTCGGGACTAGGATTCCCTTCTGGGGAGCATGCATCTCTGGCCGCGATCTATGAAGACGGCCTCCGTGATACGTGCTTCTAGTAAGAGCGGGAAGGATTAAGGAAAGAAAGCCAAGATGTGAGCTCTCTCAAGAGGCAGCTCCCGGACAGACACGCTCCAAGTCGTAGCCTAGACTAAACCGACCCGGTCTGAATAAACGGGTGCCGCCCAAAGGCCCAAAGTCTACTAAATGGCTACTCGGGGACCAATCAGAAGCAAGAGTTCTGAATTCTAACTAAAGAGCCGAGACTGACAGGTTCATCGGGTTGCAGGCAGCCAATCAGAAGCCGGGCCTGACCTCCGATGGGGGCGGAGAAAAGGTTGGGCATGGGCGGTTAGTAGTGTGCGTTGATTGGGCGGCGGAATGTGGGCGGAGCCAATAGTAGGGCAGGGCTTGCGGCCGCGGGTCGATCCCCATCTTCAGCTCTCTGGCTTCTGGCTTGCTGAGCGCGGAGAGCGGGTCTGCCTTGGGACGTCCGGTCGCGGCGGGTGAGCGGCAGTGGGGGAGGCTTAGACGAGCCTGGGGTCTCAGCGAAGGGGACGTCGCTGAAATCGGGCGGGTGGCTCCTGTCGCCTTGGCGCTCCTCACACTTGCTGCTTGTTGACCGGGCAGCTCACTGTCCAGCACCAACTGTGCTGAGATTTCAGAGCGCAATCCCGAGGTTTTCACCCTTCGCGGGCCTGCACGATGCGGGATGGAAGCCATCCTAGAGGCTCCCCTGGACTTAAATGACACAAGGGCGGGAACCCAGCTTTGGGCCACCCCCCTCCCATCGTTGTCCTTTCTCCGCAGCTAGACCGGCTGGAGCAGCTGGTACTGCTGTTTCCAATCGCCCTTGGAAAATCACTGTGTAGAGTACCTGCAGCCTGTGAACTGAGTGGTGGCAACCATTGGCTTCCCAAATAGATGCAGGGAATACAAGCGCCTGCTTCCAGCTTTGAAAGCTCACAGCAGAAGGGTCGCTGAAGACCCACCCACTTGGAAGAAGTGCTAGGGCGGAGTTTACGGGACTTTGTAACACTTTAGGAGAGGAAGAGAGGAAACGCTGGTTTCTGATTTTATTGTTGTTTTTTTCCTGGTGTACTTTGCACAGAGTGTAAGGTCCACTCTTTCTTCGTTCCCCTTTCGTTCAACAAAAATTATGAATGTGGCGCCAACCTCCCGATTAGAAGCCCATACCGTTTGAGGGTCTTTTCAGGAGCTAAATGTTGTTGGCAAGAAGTACACTAACACCTAGATAGGATTTGGATTCGCCCTTCATCCTCTCCACACACGGGACACATTTGGTTAGAATGGAAATCTCTGATAAAGACATTTCTTTGGTGTATTTACTTGCAGTGGCAGGTTTCAGTTTGTGCCTTTTCTTTCACGATGTGGAGTTCTTCGGGTACACAACAACAACAACAACAACAACAACAACAACAACAAAAAGCAAATATAAGCTCAAAAGAGAACTTTCAAGAGCTTAGATATTAATGCTAGAAGGGACTTTTAGAGAAGGCGTTGCTGAGCTCTTTGAGAGGCCGCGGGGCTGAAGTTTCAGAGGTTGTTAGCGCAGCTGGCACTTGGCAACTTTTTGCAACTCAGCACCTGTGTCTTGCACCAGGTTGTCTTGTGACCAGACCTGCCAATAATACCTTGCCCTGCTTTAGCAAGCAAGGCTCTGCAAAAAGATGCCAAACAAGCCCCATTTAAGGTCGTGGGAACCTTCTGGAGATTGACCTTCACTAGTTGCCTTTAACAGTCTTTTCAACTCTAAGAACTTTTTCTTTTCCAGACGAGTCTTCCGCTGTAGCCAGGGCTAGACTGGAACTCGAGAGGCAGTCTGGACTAGCTTTCAGAAAGAAGCATTCTCTGTTCCTCTCTCTCTCTGGTCCGCTGGGACAACAGGCGTGCCCCACCATACCCAGCTCCTTATCAAATTCTTATTACATTCAGCATTGCTTTAATACCCGTAAATACTTTCAGAGTCGGAAAGGATTTCACCTTGGAATTAACGCTTCAGTTCACATTACATTATGAACACTGGCCTTATGTTATATATATATTCAGAAGGAATGTTTAAAATTCCTTGTTAAGTCTTAAGGCCAAAGGCAATGTGACAGAATGTATTAGTTTCCAGAAGTTTCAGGTGCAAAGATTGTTTTGAAACCCTGTTTAATCTTTGTGACAATATGTTAACGAACAAAACCTGAAAGGCTTAACTTGCTTCTGAAAGCAAATACCATGGTCAAATGTAAACGTGAGACGTGATTGTCAAGAATATAACAGCTTGGCTGAGGACATGGTTCACTTAGGGGAGTGCTTGCATGTATGAGGCCCTGCGTTTGACCCCCAGTACCAAATAAACCAAGCATAGGTACTTCCCTGTAATCTCAGCATTTGGGCGGTAAGGGAGAAGGATAAGAAGGTCCAGGCTAGAGGATGCCACGAAACTTTTTCTCAAAAAAATGAAAACATGAAAGAATGCAATACCTTAGAATTGCAGACACGTGCCATCGAGCCTGGCTTTTTATGGTTGTTGTGGATGCAAACCTTGTGCTCACATATTGGTCCCCTACCCTGTGAGCCATCTTCACAGCCCACAGAGCTGGGTTCTTAGAACATAGTACTAGTTTTGACACATCTCTTAATTTTGTTGCACCTACATTTCCCTGTAAAGTTGATAGGCAAGAGAAAGGATTGAATTGGATGATTTAAAAGAAATGCATCTGTGAGCCGTATTTGTCCTTAGAATTGTCCTTTCAATTTGGCAGGGAAGTTTAAAAATAATTTATGACACAAGGATTCACTTGCCAACACATCCACTTCTGTTTTGTTTGAGACAACATCTCCCGAGGCAGCCTGGCCAGCCTAGAACTTGTGAGGTAGACCAAGCTGGCCTGGACTTGAAACAGTCCTTCAAGCCCCTGCCTTCCAAGTGCCAGGATTACACACATGGACCTAAATTATGCCCTGATAGAACATCAACTTGCTTTTCTTTTAAAGATTGTTTTAATTTTTAAATGTCTCTGAGTGGTTAGGGTGCACGTGTAACTGCAGATGCCTACAATGTCCAGGAAAGGGTGTCAGATCCTCCTGAAACGGGAGTTACAGGTGTGACTGTAATTACAGTACCACCTACTGTGAGTGCTGGAGACCAAACTTAGACCTCCTGAAAGAGCAACAAGTGCTCTTAGCTGCAGAGCCACCTCTCCGCCCCAGGACATCTTCTTGATCTCATTCACTAATTTGATTTTTTTAAATGTTACAAATGAAGCTGGGCGGTAGTGGCACACGCCTTTAATCGCAGCACTCGGGAGGCAGAGGCAGGCAGATCTTGGTCTACAAGAGCTAACTCCAGGACAGGCTCCAAAAGCTACAGAGAAACCCTGTCTTGAAAAACTAACCAACCAACCAAACAAACAAAAACCAAAAAACATTACACATAAAAATCAAGAAGCATAGATTCAATATAGAGAAACAGTGGTCTGTCTTGAGAATAATCATTCAAATAACCACCATTGTAATATGTCTCTCTTCTGACTGTCATTTTTCCTCCAGACATGATGTCAAGTGAAGACGGTCGGCAGTCCCATGCTTTAACCAAGCCCACTTTTACTGAGGCACAAGCCTCTGCTCTGGTTGAATCAGTATTTGGGTTCAAAGTTTCTAAGATCCGGCCCCTCCCTAGCTATGACGACCAAAACTTTCATGTTCACGTTTCAAGAACCACAGACACTACCGATGACCCTGCTGTATATGTCCTCAAAATAAGCAACACGGAGTCTAGTCAAACTCCAGACCTGATTGAAATGCAGAACCATATCATCATGTTTCTGAGAGCGGCTGGATTCCCAACGGCCTCCGTGTGCCAAACTAAAGAGGGCAACACGATCTCGCTCATGTCCATCGGTAAGAGATTCCCAATGCAGTCATATTATTGCATTTTGGCTACAGGTAGAAGCACGGTATCAAAGACAATTCCAAGTGGAGATATAGTTTGGAAATGGTTTGCGTCGAGATCCAGTATAAATTTAAATTTTCTGTTTAGAGATGTCCCACTAAATAGTAACTAAGGGAACTGCGAAAATCCGGAGAATATGTTCTGTTCTTATTTAGCACAAAAAGATTATATGTGTAGCTAGGGATTGAACCCAGGCCCCTGCACATGCTAGGTAAGCACTTGCCAGTCATTTCTCCAGCCTCAAGGACGTCTTTTTGTTTATTAGACTGCCTGCACATGCCAGTGCTGTGGTGTGGTAGAAAGAACATGAAACGAGCATTCAGGCATTTTAAACCCTGGTTTGTCATTGCTATGTGTGTGACCTCGGGTACAACACTTGAATGCAAAACTGCAGGTTCTCCTCTGTGGGACTGGACCCCTTTCCTTTAAAGAGTGCTGAGATATGCCTAACTTAGCAAGCAAGAGCTCGAGATCAGTTTCTTGGATTTTTTTCCTTTTTTATACATTTTTTATTGATATTTATTGAGCTCTACATTTTTTTTTCTGCTCCCCTCCCTGCCTCTCTCCTCTCCCCTTCAATCCTCCCCCAAGGTTCCCATGCTCCCAATTTACTCAGGAGATCTTGTCTTTTTATACTTTCTACTTCCCATGTAGATTATATCTATGTAAGTCTCTCTTCGTGTCTGCATTGTTGTCTAAGTTCTCTGGGATTGTGGTTTGTAGGCTGGCTTTCTTTGCTTTATGTTTAAAAACCACCTATGAGTGAGTACATGTGTTAATTGTCTTTCTGTGTCTAAGTTACCTCAGTCAAAATAATGTTTTCTAGCTCCATTCATTTTCCTGCAAAATTCAAGCTGTTGTTATTTTTTTCTGCTGGGTGGTACTCCATTGTGTAAATGTACCACATTTTCCTCATCCATTCTTTGGTCGAGGAGCATTTAGGTTGTTTCCAGGTTCTGACTATGACAAACAATGCTGCTATGAACATAGTTGAGCACATGTCCTTGTGGCACAATTGAGCGTCCTTTGTATATATACCCAAAAGTGGTATTACTGGGTCTTGAGGAAGGTTGTTTCCTAATTTTCTGAGAAATCATACTGACATCCAAAGGGGTTGTACCAGTTTGCATTCCCACCAGCAATGCAGAAGTGTTCCCTTTTCTTGGATTTTTTTAAAAGTATGAGTTCCGCCATCTTCTTTTCTCTTGTTTATCTATTATTTTTTAATCTGTATTGCTCCTAACAACAAAGACCCACTCCAGTCCCTGAGGAATAGACAGCAGAGCTGTGTCACAGATGTAAGATGCGCTTCAATTTGCCACAAAGGAATCTGTGATTTATGGAGCGGCCCTTTTTTCACACCTTGTTTTCCTCATTGCAAGTGCATATGAAAATGCGGGTTTAAGGCATTCATTTATCTAGTTAGTAAATGTCTCCTTGGAGCTAAGGCCTGCATAGTTGGGGCTGTTTGAGTGTGCAAATGGTTTCATCCTTCTGTTCGCTTTGATTCCCCTCTGCCTTACCTCACAGAATATTCCAGTGAAGTCTTAGCTTTGTGTTCTTTCCCTCTTGTCACGAAATTCCTTTTCCTTTCAATAGTAATTCTAAAGAAAAAGTAGCTCTTATTGTTTTCTCAAGAATGATTGACAGAATGTGTCATTCCTTCGATCTAGACAGTGGATCTGAAATCAAAAACTACTTGGTGAGAATGCTCACTTACCTCCCGGGAAGACCCGTAGCCGAGGTTGCCGTCAGCCACCAGCAATTATATGAGATAGGAAGGCTAGCTGCCCAGCTGGATAAAACACTGGAGGTAAGATTTGGGGTCTTATTTTGTGAGGGATTTCTGTTTGTTTATCTTATGATTTTTTTGTTTGTTTTATTTGCTTTGAGATAGAATCTCACTGGGTAGCCTTGGCTGGCCTGGAACTCACTATGTAGACCAAGCTGACCTCAAATTCACAGAGATCCTCCTGCCTCTGCCTTAAAAGTGCTGGAATTAAAAGATTAAAGATATGCCCCACCACGTTTGGCTAGCAATGAGATTCTTAAGAACAATGTGCTTCATATAGTCATTTTCTTCTTGTACAATACAGGCTCCAAACTCACTGTGTAGCCAAAGATTACCTGAACTTCTGCTCCTCCTGCCTCTGTCTCCTGAGTACTGGATTCGTAGGCATGTGCCATGCCTCATTTAAATGGTCCTGGGGCTTGAGCTCCACACATCCTGCCAATAGCTACCTCCCCAGTGTATTTGCTCAACTTTTATTCTTGATGTCCATCACTACACATTTGACACCCTGGAAGACGATTGTCCAAAAGTAACTCCAAACTGGTTCTAAAGTTAGGAGTACGTTGGCCATAGAAAAGGTGGAAGAAGGGCTTTCCAGGTGCTCTTCCAGGACAGAGCACATGAAGTACAGTGAAGGACCATGTTCTGAAACCTCCGGGTAATTCACTGTGGCTGCGATGTATAGGGATATATATATATATAAGGATATTATATATCCTTATATAATATATCTGATATATAAAGGCACACAAGAGATAAAATTGAACATACAAGGTGGAGTCAGATTCTAAGGCACATGTTCTGTGACAGTAAGGAGTCGGTTTGTCCCTAACGCTTGGGAGGCTGATGCAGAATCTCTTCAGTTTGAACCATCTAGACTTTGTAAGACCTGGCCTTCCCACCCGTGAAAGTAAGCAGTCTCAACTGTAACTTATAGGCAGTTGGGATCCTTGGGAGGTTTCCTTAACCTGCAAAACCGGATTATAGCACTCTGAGAGCCTTATAGGCAGTTGGGATCCTTGGGAGGTTTCCTTAACCTGCAAAACCGGATTATAGCACTCTGAGAGCCAGAAAGGTGGGAAACATCCAGGACGCTAATTCAGCAGTCAAATAATCAATAATTAGTGAAACTGATTAAGGGCTTCAGTTAGGGAAAGGTTGGATGTGGTGGTGCACACCTTCAATCCCAGCACTCGGGAGGCAGAAGCAAGAGGATCACCAAAAGTTCAAAGCCAGTCTGGCCTACATAGCGTGTTCAAGGTCAGGACTCTGTAGCTAGACTCTGTCTCACATTAAACAAACAAACAATTCTTAAATGTGAAGAGGTTAAGAAGACAATGCAACCATATTTGGTGATAGTTTTCGAGACAAGCTCATGACCAGGGAAGGCTTGAGCAAGGCATGAATTCTAACCTAGGCTTACTGGGATACAGCTCCATTCTAATGCAAGATGCAATTAAGAATTAAATAAGAGAGGAAAGGGCTGGGATGAATTCTTTCATTCATTTAAAGAAACGTATTTATAGTCTGCTAGAAATTAGCACGCAGAAAACTGAAGGCTGCTCCGTGTGGCAGTCGTTACACTTGAACTGTTCCTTATAGGAAAACAATTTTCATGTCTTATTTTTGGGGTTTTTGTTTGTTTGTTATGCAATCTGACGGTGTTTACCAGGCATGGTGGTATATGTCTGTAGTCCCATCACTTAGGAGGCTGAGGCAGGAGGATTGCTGAAAATTTAAGCCTAGCTATGTTCTGACATCCTGACTAAAAACAAACAAACAAAGAAAGAAACCGAGAGTCTTTGTTATTTGTTTTTGTTTTTCAAGACAGGACTTCTCTATGTAACAGCTCCGCCTGTCCTGGAACTCACTCTGTAGGCCAAGCTGGCCGCGAACTCACAGAGAGATCCGCCTGCCTCTGCCTCCCAAGTATTGGGATTAAAGGCATGCGCCACTGCTGCCCAGCAGAAACCGAGAGTCTTTGCCATTTAGTTGACAAATTTAGGCCATTTTACTTTTTTTCCCTTTGGGGAATGTGTGACCATGTCCAGCTTCCAGGTTTCTCATGTTTGGTACTCACTGAACTTCTGGAAGTAGACACCGTTAGGATGATTAGAAACCATTTGATTCTTTTGTGTCTTGATTGTAACCTCTGACAGGTGGGACCAGGCCTGGGTTTAAATGTAAGAATTATGTAATGCAAGCCCCTTCTGAGTTCTCTACCCAACATCCTATAAGCTGGATGTTTCCCAGAGTGGTCGGTAGCCACAGACACTGCTCCCAGTCTCGCCTATGTGCCCAATCAAATCCCTTGTAGACCTTCCATTCCTCAGACTTAGCATGTGGGGTATATACCGATCCATCAAATTCTCAAGGAGGACTTGGTATTCTCTCTGCAGCCTGACTTTGGGAGTCTGTCCTGCAAACTCTAGACGCCTTGGTCTTCCCGGACTCTCAGCTCTATCTCTTCAACTCATTGAACATTCTGGACTCTTCCTGGGTCTTCTCTCTGCACTTAGTCCTCTGTCAAGGTAGTGAGTGGGGACAAACTCATTTTACTTAGTCTGTTTTCATTACTTAATGCCGGTGATTTAAATTTTATTTATAACTGGGCAAACCAAGTTTGTTACTCCTCTTGGCCAGATGTCAAGGCCATATGATCATCTACACAGTAATAATTTACCCTGCTATCCCAAAGCAGAAATAATTCATTTATTTTCTGGTTAAGCAAAACACTTCAGTGACTCATTATTTAAGAAAACCCAGCAAAAATACGAAGAAAAATCAAAAGTTATCAGTAATCCCATTCTCTGGAATTGATGCTTAGTAAGTGTTTTTTACATATTCAGCAACAATGGTATTGCATAGAACTTTGGGTAATAAACATATTAAGCATTTCAGTCAAAACACTTTCAGTTAAGTGTGAACAATTCCATTAAAAGGTCCATTTATGGGGGTATGAAGATGATTCCATTGGCACAAACACAAAGGGGTGAATTAGGGTCTCAATACCCACATAGAAGAATGACAGCATGTCCACTGGGGAGGCAGAGACGGGCGATCCTGTGGGGCTCTCTGTCAGCCAGTCTAGCCAAATAGGGAAGTCCCAGGGTCACTTAGAGACCTTGTCTCAAAAAATAGGATGGAGGGTCTGGTAAAATGGCTAAGCAGTGAAGATTCTTGCCACCAAGTTTGAGAGCCACATGGTGGAAGGAAAGAATTGACTCCCACAAGTTGCGCAACATATGTATCCATACGTGCACATGTGCACACACATGCACGTGTAAATAAGTAATTTTAAAAAGTAAAGGAAAACAAAGAGCAACTGAGGAAGATGTCCTTTGTTGACCCCTGGCCTCCAGGTATGCACATGCACACGTGAGTCATGTACCCATGTACACACACACCAAGCACATATGCACACGCAATATCCACTTATGGGTATCAATAAACCTGGAATATAAGTAGTTATTTTACTTTTATTTGCTATGACAGGGTCTTTCTGAAAAAGATTTATTTATTTTATGTGTGTTTTGCCTGCATCTGTGTGTACTGCATGTGCCAGTTTCCCAAGGAGGCCAGAAGAGGGAGCTAGATCCCCTGTGAACCAGTATGTGGGTGCTGGGAAGGAACTCCAGTCTTCTGCAAGGGCAGCAAGTGCTCTTAACCACTGAGCGTCTCTCCAGCCTCCGTGACAGGGTCTTGCTCTGTATCCATGGCTGATCTGGAACTCACTGTGTAGACTGAGTTGACCTTAAACTTGTGGCAATCCTTGTGCCTCTGCCTCCCGAGTGCTGGGATTATATGTGTAGGCCATCATACCTGGCTTAAGTGTATTTTTAGAAGATTTTTCGTCATATATTAATTTTATTCAGAAAAAGCTTTGTAGTGGTTACAATGGTCTTTATTATGTCTATATTGTCTCTGTGATATCCTTAAATTCTCCCAGATACGCTACTTCAGTAAGTGTCTCTCACATCTTTCTCCATTATCATTTAAGAATAATGTATTGCGCTATAACAAAGGTATACATGTTGTAAGGTACAAATACATATACTGTAAAACTGCTGCCATAGTGCCTGTCTTCAGATCACTGTATTGACTGAGCCATTTCCCCAGCCCCAGGGACTGTTGAGTGTTTCCTGTGCTGAAGTTTTTGATTGATATAATCCCATCTGTTTGTATTTGCTGTGAATATGAGAGGCAAGAAACCACTGACAAAGCCATTGTCAAGGAGTTTTATGGTCTTGGCATTTGAATCTTTTGCCTATATGGGAGTTGATTTTTGTATATGATATAAGATACATGTCCAATATCATTGTTTTTCCTGTTGAAATCCAGTTTTCCCAGCACTGTTATTAGAGAACCTTATCTTTCCCGTGGTGTCTTTGTGGTGCCCTTGTTGACCACTTCTTGTACTGAGTTTTTAGGGTTATTTATGGATTCTCTGCACTGTTCCCTAAGTCATTTTGTCTGCTTTTATACCAGTAAAATGTTATTTTTGCTTTTGTTTGTTTGTTTTGGGAAACCTTCATACTAAGCACATGCTCTACCACTGACATATACCTTCAGCACTCATACTGTTTGGTTTATGATAACTTTGTAATATAATCTTAAATCAGATTAAATTTCTCTAACTTTGCTTTTCTCCTCAGAATTATTCCAAATATTTGGGGTCTTTCATGATATCATACAGATCTTAAGTTGTTTTTTTTTTTTCCATGTTTGTAACAAACGCTAATGGGATTTTGACAGGACTTTCATCAACCTGTTTCTCACTGCTGTCTCCTTTCAGCCTGTTTACGGGCTCACCCACACGCCTCTTCTTCCTGAAGCTTCACCTCCTCTTTCTCTTGAGATGGCAGATGCAGTTTCAGAGGCGGCCCCTCCCCACGATGAGCACTCAGCTCTCCCGCTGGTCACCTGCAGCTGTTTTGTGCCTCCTCTAAGTTGTCATACAGAGAACGACTCTCCACTTGGTGTTACAGTGTCTTCTGGTCTACTTTGTCCCCACTGCCCAT